GCTACTCTTTTACCAGCGAATAGTGGGATTGACCGTCACATTATAACGCCCCCACGGCTGAAAGGGCGAGCATGTTTGGTGTGACGGGGATCCGAACCCTCTATTATACAAAGCAAAGCGTGTGTTCGGGAAAAAAAATCACTATCGCTTATCTATCATTTTATATCTGTTCCTTATACGTTTCCACATTTCTTGATAAATCAGCACCAAACTTGACACAGTGATACAGGATGACACGAGGAAGGTTATGAGGGGTAGACCCCCCCCCCCATCTAGTTTCATGTTGATAGAATTCTTGTATGTCTTTCTTTTCAGTATTGATACCTTTATGTATTTTTATTATGTTAAGAAAATAATAATAAAACACAATTTCCTATATTTTGTTACAAATGAGATTTTACTTCACCCGTCCATTGGACGGATACTCCTGCTAGTGATTTGATATAAATAACAGTATTTATAAATAGGAATAATTAACATTAGTATAACGAATAAACTTAATTGTTGAGTATTATCATTTTAATTGCTCTTTTCGATCATATTTGATATTTTTACAAATATTCTGAATGCCTAGACCCACTTCTTCAAAAATTGAATACATTTCCAGCTTTTATTCTTGTATCTAAAAGTTATTTGAACCCACAAGTAATGCTTGGAGTATAATCAATTATTTATATTCATATTGGATGATTTAATAGCGTTTCATCAAACTACAAACATTAAAACAAGTTTTTAAATTTAGAATTATTATAAATCTAAAGACAATGTATTGACTTCAGCAAAGTTAGAAGGATATAGTAACATTTCCATGATTATGTACAGGGCCGAACCTTTGGTAGCTCCTGAGATATCACCACATCTGTTCCAAATACTGGAAAGCCACTATTATTATGGTTCTTAACAAGTTTAAACAAATTCAAAACAGCAGTTTCGCATAATAAGCACCTAATACATGCGGCAGAAAGTGCACTTGCCCCACATTTTTTCCAGTTATTGTACATACATCCTTCACCCACGTTTTTCTCAATTATTATATATACATTTCCCCCACCCCAACTTCACAACAAAGCTAAGCAGTTATATACTTCATATACCTTTATAAGGAAGCGAAATTTATTTATTTATTAGGTCGTCAAGAAATTAATGTCACTTTTTTTAGATTAATAAACCCGAACAACGTATATATCAAAACAAAACCTTTAATTAAATGAAATAGCCTCCATTCTTATCCATGATGCTTTTCCATCTTACAATCAAGTTGTTAATGCCCTGATTATTAAGAAATTGCTTAGCTTTGAAGAAAAAAAAAACATTTCGATGTCCTCTTTAACACCTTCCACAATTGCATACTGTTACGTATTGAGAATTTAAAATAGTCCGAAGCCGATATTTTAGTTCATTTACGCTATTTGCCAACAAGATTGACATACACGTTTTCGTTTTTCACACAAATACAGTACAATTTACAACAACAATTATTAAGAATAGTTACCACAAGCAAACAAAAATTTCAGTAACTTACAAACATAAAATCTTCTTTCAAGTTCAGAGCCTCCTTGATATCCAGAGAGTTAACTTGAAGTCGATGTACGTACACTTGCCGAGAAGCTAGCTAGGTTTGTCAGACACTGAATTGCCGAAGTAAGATAATATTTTCATAAAACCACTAATATCCGAGGTGAATTCAGTAATACTTTCGGAAAGATACTAACGTCCAAGGAGAATCCACTGACGTTCGAAATTTATAACTGTTCCTGGTCAAATGTCGTCAATTTTCCGGTTGATAAGGGTTAGGTTCCTAGCCAACTTTTTAAGCTCTCTTCTTTTGGCGCGTCACCTTGGCTGTTTTTATAGGCGTGAGACAGATTTTTCTCGAAAATTCCAACAACAAAACTCAAATATACATTTAACTGGTTACGGAAGTGGATATACTGTCGATTCTAACGTTCACGAATATTCTACAACCTTGGAGAATTGGCGGGAGTTTCGCAGTACGTAACTAACACTGTAAGCTAGGCACGTTTTTTAACTATAAACTCTATCCAAACAGACGTTGTCATTAAAATAAATATATAACAAATTCGTTACATATCCAACACTACAAGTTACACATATTTTTAAATACAAACTTAATCTAAACAACGTTCATATTAAAAATAGATACATGACAAATTCTTTACAGTACGTTTTCCCATTAAGATGGTGTTGCAGCAAACGAAATAGATGGTAATCTGATAGTGCCATACCTGGAGAACATGGTGGGTAAGGGAAAACTTCCCAACCCAACTCCATAATCTTGTATTGCATTAAACGTGCCACATGTGAACATGCATTGTCGTGGAGAAGAATACCTTTCTGATTGACGAGTGAAGGGCGTTTCTG